TTTGTGTTGCTATAAAGGAATACCTAAGACTGATCATTTATAAAGAAAAGAGGTTTATTTGGCATATGGTTCTGCAGCCTGTACAAGAAACATGGCGCAAGCATCTGCTTCAATGTGAGGGCCTCAGGCTGCTTCTACTCATGGCAGAAGGTGAAGGAGAGCTGCGTGTACAAATATCACATAGAGACAGAGGCAGCAAGAGGAAGCAGGGAGGTGCCAGGCTCTTTTTAACAAGCAGCTCTTGTGGGAGCAAATAGAGTGAGAACTGACTCATTACCAAGAGAACGGCACTAAGCCATGTATGAGAGATCCACCCTCATGACCCAAACACCTCCCACCAGGCCCTACTTTCAACACTGGGGATCAAATATCAACATGAAGTTTGGAGGGTCAAATATTCAAACGACAGCACTAAGCCACGGTCCCTCCCAGAAGTGGGGGCAGAAATGGCTGTGACTGGAGCCTCAGCAGCTCTGACACCCTCATGCACCCTTGCACGCCAAATCCACACTGGCTCTTGCATATACACGGCCTCCAGCCTGTATTCTAGCTTTATGTGACCATCTAAGAGATCAAGTTACTGTGCTCAGAGAGACCAACACCACAGTGGGGAATAAGTGAATTGACTTTCAAGCCTTGCTCCAGGCTGGCACACATGAGTGTCTCTAGCCTGTTCAGTACTGGTCCTGTGCCAATCTCAAGCCTATGCTGGCCGCTGACCCCAGGGTCTCGTGCTTCAGCAAAACTCTTACCTCTGTCTGCTCTTGTGCCCCTGACTTGGCCGCCTCCCTTGGGCTTCAGGGAAATACCTGCCCCGTTTTGTAATGCGAGGTTCCTGGAGGAACACGTAAAGGAAGTCAGCGGTTCATGCTGAGTACCAAGTGTTAGCAGCCTTTCAATGCCAAGGGTACCCTCCTGCCCCCCAACATCTGCACTCTGTTAAGTTCACATAGTCCACAGGCAAATCGTGGCTGCCTGAGCTTTGTTTTTCATGTGATGGCCTGGCTTTATCAGTGTTTACGCCAAAGAAGGTGTCTTAGTCCATTTGGGCTACGGCAAAAATGCCGTGGACCAGGTGGCCTCAACAACGAGCGTTTATTCCTCACAGTTCTGGAGGCTGGAAGTCCAAGATCAAGGTACCAGCAGACTCGGCGTCTGGGGAGAAGCTGTTTTCTGGCTCATAGATGGCGCCTTCTCACTGTGTCCTCGTGGGGCGGGAGGGCTGCGGGAGCTCTTTGGGGTCTCCTTTATGTGGGTACTAGTCTCATTCACGAGGGCTCCACGTTCATGGCCTAATCACCTCCCAAAGGCTGCACCTTCCAATCACCAACACACTGAGGTTAGGTTCTTTTTTTTTTTTTTTTTTTTTTTGAGACGGAGTCTTGCTCTGTCGCCCAGGCTGGAGTGCAGTGGCCCGATCTCAGCTCACTGAAAGCTCCGCCTCCCAGGTTCCCGCCATTCTCCTGCCTCAGCCTCCGGAGTAGCTGGGACTACAGGCGCCCGCCACCTCGCCCGGCTAGTTTTTTTGTATTTTTTTAGTAGAGACGGGGTTTCACCATGTTAGCTAGGATGGTCTCGATCTTGTGACCTCGTGATCCGCCGTTTCGGCCTCCCAAAGTGCTGAGATTACAGGCTTGAGCCACCGCGCCTGGCCTGAGGTTAGGTTCTGATATGTGAATCTGTGGGGGCACAAACATTCAGTCTAGAGCAGAAGCAGATATTTCACAATTGTAAGCCCGCTTAGGTACAGAGGCCTGCATGGTCTCACAAGCCAATACTGACTTCCCAGGGCTCATTCCTCCAGGTCGAACATGGACTCTGACTGGGGGCCTGGCTTGGAGTGTGGCGTGTGCCATCACTACCACATCTTCAGAGAATGTAATTCCATTAGAAACCCCTGTTAGGTCCTGAAATGCCCACTGCCCCCTCAGCCACGCTGTGGCCATTCCCTGCAAGGTGGTGCTGCTCTGAACTGTTTTACTAGATGGTGATGGGCACGAGGCGGGCACCTACCTGCAGGACAATGGCTGTCATGTGCTATGTGTTCACCAGGTTTTAGACATTTATGTCAAATCTCTAAAACCCCCCCTTAAAGTGGATATCACCCTTGTTTTCGTTTGTGGAAGAGGAACCTGAGGCTGGAATGTGGGGCCCACAGCATAGTGTGGTCTTGAGCCCCGGGCGGCGTGGCCCCCTCAAGACCACATGGCCCTGCTTTCCTCCGCTGGTGACTGAGTGAGGCCTGCTGTCACCTGCCCCAGCCTGCCAGGGAGTAGGCCTCCTTTTCCGCCAGCACTCCTAGGTCTGGGGTCACGTTAGCCTATGGCTCGGGGCTCTCAGGAGGGCTGGGGCCGCACATTTCTGGAAGGAAACATCCTGAGCTGGTGCTGGTCTCAGGAGCACTAACCCAGGCCGGCAGTTTGCTTCCTTCCCCCTGGTCTCCTGGGCACAGTATTTTTCTGTTTGTTATGGGAGTTGTCACATTGCAGCTGTACTTTGCTCGTGAGGAGGGGACTGATCTCTGTAGAGTTTTTCGTTTCTTGTCTTGTAGGCATTTATTCATCCACAGTCTGCGATTCCCACAGTCCTCATGGTCCTGTCTTTCTGCCCACATCCCCTGTACAGCCCCTCTCACCATGGGACACGAGGGTGATGTTCCTTCAACAGCCAGGCCCCACAGAGTGGCTGACTGTCTGGGAGAACCCCAGTCTGTTAGGCCTCCAGGGACTCTCATAGCACTTGTCTTTTTTTGTGCAAATTTTAATGACCCTTTGGTCAGAACTGTTAAATAAAGGGGCCTCTTCCTCCAGGTCCAGTGTTGACTCCTGCCAGGGGGCCTGGCTTGAAGTATGGCATATGCCAAATGTCAGCTCTGAGTCTCCGCTCAGCTGGGTGACTTTGCAGCGCACAGACTGTGCAACTATATATGTCAACTCTGTAAGCCACTGCTGCTCCAGGCCCCTGACCTGGAAAAAGATTTGACATTTATACCCCTCAACAGTCATTGCCCTGTTGAGACCCCCAGGACCCATGGCTATAACAGGAGCTCCCTTGATTGCAGGCCACCGCATATGAGAGTCTGATGTATCCTTGCTTTGGTTATTTGACACGGGTCTCCACAGCTGGCCACCGCTTGCCCCTGGCCTCATGCCTCTTTCCATGCCTGCTGAGACTGGGCCACTGCAACTTCCTGTTAGTTTATCTCTGAACGGGAACCTCTCTTTAAGGACAGAGGGAAGCTGGCTCTGCATATGAGGGCATCTTGTTGTTCAACCGTTAACTCAGACTTGTCTTTTTTTTTTTTTTTTTTGACACAATTTCACTCCGCCTCCCAGCCTGGAGTGCAATGGTGCAATCTCAGCTTACTGCAACCTCCACCTTCTGGGTTCAAGTGATTCTCCTGCCTCAACCTCCTGAGTCGCTGGGACTACAGGCGCATGCCACCCTCTCAGGCTAATTTTTGTACTTTTTATAGTGACAGGGTTTCATCACATTGGCCAAGCTTGTCTCGAACTCCTGACCTCAAGTGATCCATCCGCCTTGGCCTCCCAAAGTGCTGGGATTGCAGACGTGAGCTACTGCACCCGGCCGAACTTGTCTTTTTGCAGTGTTGGCTGCAGGGCATTGCTTGTGACACTGCCGTTACTAATGCCTGCCAATTACTGAGTGTGCACTGTGAGCCCCACATGGTAATTCATTGAATCCACCCACCAATCCTTTGGGGAAGGTATTGTCAACCTCTTTTTATATATAAGCAAACTGAGGTTCAGAAACCTTGGCTGCTTGCCCCAGGCCACCTGACCGGAATCCAACCTCAGGAATCCTGATGTGGAAGGCCAGCTCCTGGCTGCTACACCCCAGCCGCGGCATTGAGATCCGTCAACATGGAGCCTTTCAGGATGGACATTTTCTTTCTTCCAGGATTATTGTAATAGGAAATTTGAGAGTGAGAAAAAATGTCAGTTAAAAGAGGCACGATGATTGCCACAATGCATTTCAGCCAGAGAGAGCTGGATTCAGGTGCCAGTCCTGCCACCTAAAGGCATGTGACTTAGGGCAAGTTACTTGCCCTCTCTCTACCTCAGTGTTTTCATCTGTAAAGTGGTGCTAATAATGTGCTGACCTGATATAGTGGTTGTGAGAAGTAAATGAGAAAATCCATATCAAGTGCTGAATACAGGGCATGGCATACAGTGAAGAGTCAGTACTTGCTGCTGTTATTATTATTATTATATTTCCCATTGGCATTCGCTCACTGTCTCTTGCTCTAAACAGCCTGTGTGGGCATCCCGTGCCACCCTTTTTAGCAGGGATTATGGCCAACTTGCCAGTCTATGTAGGATAGATTCATTGCCCTGAGCTAATGAAAAAGATTCCAGAAAAGACCAGCATCTCCCATCACTATCACATTTTCAAAGAATGTAATTTCAGCGGAAATCCCCATAAGGTCCCGAAGTGCCTACTGCCCACCCAGCCATGCTGTGGCTTTTGTCTGCAAGCTGTGCTGCTCTGAGCTGTTCTACAGAGTGGTGGTCAGCACAAGGCTGGCAGGGTACCCGCGGTTCTCGGGAAGGAGGCCCTCAAAACCGAAAACTCCTTCCTCGATTCTGGAAAATGACATCATGGGCATTCCTCCATCATTATAAATGCATTTTCAACTTATGGCTCAGCCGCTAAGTAGGGAACGGTTACCACCGATCACCGCTAGAGGGCGCCCAAAGCCCGCCTCTTAGCCGCTTGGGCGGGGACTCAGGCTTCCGGATCTTGAGGAAAAGTAAATAGACTCCGGGATACAACCTTCCGCACTGATCTATTATGCACACTTTAAAAGCCTGTAACTCTTTGATCTCAGTCTCACCCTTTAATTGTTAATATTCTGCCCTCAGTGAAAGGACTGGGAAACGAGTTGAGAAACAACATATGTATATGTATGTATGTTTGTATTTGGAGATGTGGTGTCTCTATGATGCCCAGGCTGGCCTCGAACTCATGGGCGGAAGCATCCTCCAGCCTCAGCCTCCCAGGTAGCTAGGACTACAGGTGCACCTGACACCATGCCCAGCTGAGAAACAATTATTAATGACCAATAATGAATGACTTTGGGTGGAGCCGTGAGGTAAGAAGCTTTTATTCCTTCTCTGATTCTCAAAACAGCCCTGTTAGGGGATGCTCTTCGCTCTTCTTCTGCTTCTGCTTCTGTTTTGTTTTGTTTTTGTTTTTGAGACAGGGTCTCGCTTGGTCACCCAGGCTGGAGTGCTGTGGCCTGATCATAGCTCTTTGAAGTCATTGTAAACGCACAGAGAAGTGAAGAGAATAGGGAGGGTAGAGAGGGTACACTGGGCACCCTTTTAGTCATCACTTGGATTTAACAATTGTTAGATCTTTGACATATTTGCAGAGTTTGAGATATGATCCTCAAGGAGAAATCAGAATTTCATCAACTCAAGGCCCTGGGATCAAGCCAAGGAACAGGGTTATAAAATGGCTGAAAAACACAAGCCAGAGAAAGGTGGGGGGGGTGGGGGGTGGGGGGTGGGGGGGGGTGGGCAATGGGAGGGGACCTTCCCCGACACTGAGGAGGGTAATAACTATGACAACCACTGTTGGACTAGAAACCCAAGGATGGAACAGGGTCACAGATAGAAAAAGATCACTCTTGGCCAGAGATTTAGGCAGCCTTAATACTAATCCAGGTCAGGTGGTAGAATATTTCAAAAATGAAAAGGTCAGGGCTAGAAGGGCCAGCGGATATTGGTAGGGAGGAAAGGTGCTATGACTGACTTGAAAATTGGACTTTTCCAGGTGGTATTTTCTTAATTATACGTCTTGGGGATGCAGTATGAACGGGCATATGACAAATGACTAATCAATTTCCGATAATGAATTACTTATTATTTACTGACCAACCATGTTCTTCCCAGGCATAGTGTAGAAACATGGACAGACAGGAAGACTAGCTTTCTGTTTCTGGAAGGTGAATGAGAGTTTTCTTTTATTCTTAAATACATCCAAGAAACATTCCACAATAACTCATTCCAATGTCTTTCTTTAATGTTAGGAAGGTCTTCCTTAAATCTGACTTCAAGTTCCTGTTGTTCAGTTTACCAGTTATATTTTTTTCATTCTTCCACTTTCAAACTTTCTTCAACCTTGTATTTAAGGAGTATCTCTTATACACAGTATGTAGTTATTTCTTTTTAAATCCATTTTGAAAAAAATTGATCTTTTAATTGGACTCTTTATAAAGTTTGTTTACATTTATTGTAATTACTGGTAATTTTTGCTCAAATCTATCTTACTACTTGTTTTCTATTGATTGTTTTATGTTCCTTTTCTTTTACATCTTGTCTTCTAATTGCTCTTTCTTTTACTCCTCTATTAGCTTGTTAGATCTATGCTAATTTTTTAACCCAAGAGATTACAGCATGCATCCTTGACTTATTACAATCTAAGATAAATTAGGTCTTTTACCACTTCCCGGGAAATTTAAGGACTTTATGCCATTTTAAGTTCTTTCCTCCTGCCTTAAGTACTATTATTGCTTTATAACTTCTCTATTTAAAACTCTACAAAACATTAATATTATTACTATGTACACGGTCAGCACTAATTTAGTATTAATTTAGATTTATCTACTATAATATTTACACTTTACAGTGTTCTTTATTTCTTCCTACATTTCCATGCTTTCACTGAGATCATTTTTTTTTTTGTCTAAAAAACATTTTTTAGTATGTGTGTGCTGGTAACATATTATCTCAGGTTTTGTTGTCTGGAAATATTTTTAGTTCACCTTAATATTTGAAGAATATTTTTGGTGGCTGTAAAATGTTGTCAGTTATTTTCTTCCAGCACTTTGAAGATATGATTTCATGTCTTTTGTCTTTTATTATTTCTGGTAAAAGTTAGTGGTCAGTCTTACTGTTCTCCTTTTGATTGTAATATACTCTCTCCCCAACAACTGGTTTCCTTTTAAGATTTTCTATTCATTTTTAGTTCTCAGCACCTTTATTACAATATGCCTCAATTTCATTTTCTTTACATTTCTCCTGCTTGAAGTTCCTATTATTGCCAAATCTATGGCTTTGATGTCTTTAATCTGTTTTAAGTATCTCTTTAAATATTGTCTTTTCTTCGTTAATGTTTCCTTCTCCTTCTGGGATTCCACCTACGCATATTTTAAACCTTTTTTGCTGCGTCCCATATGTCTCTTATGTTCTTGTCTCTGTTTTCTATCTTTTTTCTCTCCATGCTTCAGTCTGGATATTTTCTTTGATATTTTCGACTAATTCTTAAAGACTATGTCATCTCCTGCTAAATCTAGCCATTGAATTTTAATGACAATTACTGTAGTCATCATTTTAAAAATTACTTGCCAGTTTGCTGCTGAAATTTCCCATCATTTCATTGAGTTCCTTTAATATTTGAACCGTGGTTATTTAAAGATCCGCGTCTGGTAACTCCAGTACCTGGCTGATCTCTTGGGGGCCAGTGTCCGTGGTCTGGTTGTCGGAGTGCGTCCCTGTGGCTGTGACCCATCCCAGGTTGAGAGGTAGCCGTCCATCCAGGTGCACTAGCACACCTTTCCACGTGTGCCGTTTCAAGTCATTTCAGCCCATGCTAATTTCTCCTCATGTTGTAATCAGGTTGTTTCTTACTGGTTTATATTTTCAAAACATGCCATTTCAATTTATTGAATCTTTGCTGAGGACAAACTTGAGGCACAAAGTGGTTAAAAGATTTTTCCCAACATCCCTACAGCATTCAGTGACTGCAGTGGACATTCGTTATATTTTCTGGAGCTCAATGTCTCAAAGCCCTTCTGATGTTTGGGAACAGCAGTCCGGGGTAGGACACTCTGAGCACAATCACATGAACCTCTCCTGTCCAACCACATGCTCCCACCTGGGCTTTGCATCTGGCCTGAGTGATGCAGAGATGTAGGGGACCTCTTGGAATTCGTGCCAATGGCAGTGGTGGTGGAGGCAGCGGCAGGCCCAGCAGTGGCAGCAGCCATCGTGCCCACGCCAGACTCGCACCCTGTGTGAATTTGGCCATTGTGGTGGCCACGTAGCCTCCCTTGGTTCTGGCTACTCCCTTTCAATTCTGTGAGTTGCTTGACACCCTTCCAATAAATTCCTGTTTTGCATAAACTAACAAGAGTGGGTTTTTGTTGTTTGCAACCACAAATCAAGACTAACACAGAGAACAAGCAGGTGAGAACTCAAGAGTGCCAGGTGGCTGCCGCACTCTTTGCTGAAAGCTCAGCTGATAGATGAGTGTTTCAGACCCAGAAACCCAGCATGGTTCAGCCTCCTCGCCTGGGAATGTTACAAGGGAATGCCGAACATGCCTCAGTGTACTCACAAAATTGTGTGCAATTTTCCTGGAAAAGTAAAATAATAATTTAGGCCCTTTAGCAGGCTAGAAAGGACTCATTAGGGAGAGAACAATGAGAAACAAATTAGGGAGCGAATAATGCGTAGATGTGGTTGACACAGATGGAGGCTGGGCCTGTGCCTCGACCTGGCATGGCTGGCCTGGTGAGCTTGGAGCTGTGGCCTGGCACCACGGAGCAGGTGGTGGTGTCCACCCCTTCCAGTCAGGCCTCGCCTCCTGGGAGGGTTCTATGGGTCTGCTCTGGTGACCACATGGGGGTTGGTGCTCACTGGGCAAGCAGGCTGTGGGTCCACTCCCTGCTGTGATTCTGACCCTCAGCTGCCTTGCACCAGCCTGGCCACCCATCCACAGTGCTGCACTCATTGCCTGGAGGATGAGGACTGTAGGAGCCCGGGATGTCATCTTGGATGCCTCTTCCCTGCGTCTCTACTCAGACCACTTGTTCCAGGAGGTCAGATGCATCTCCAAGAGATGCTTCTCTTTCATCTCTTACACTTTGCACATGGTAGGTTTCAACAAGTATTCCTTGGCAGTGATATGTGTGGCTGGTTTCTCCTTCTGCTCTTTGCTAACTCTTACCCCCAAACTGCCATGTGCCTGGGCAGACAGATTGAGTACAAAGGTACACGTGAATTTAAAATGTTGCATCCAATCAAAAGTCCTGGGTTTGGGCTGAGAGGAAGAGGGGAAATTTGCCAGTTGATGGGTAAGTCTTGTCTTTTTTCTTTTTCTTTTCTTTTCTTTTTTTTGAGACGGAGTTTCACTCTTGTTGCCCAGGCTGGAGTGCAATGGTGCCATCTCGGCCCACTGCGACCACTGCCTGTTGGGTTCAAGCGATTCTCCTGCCTCAGCCTCCCGAGTAGCTGGGATTACAGTCTTCTGCCACCATGCCCAACTAATTTATTTTTATTTTTAGTAGGGAGAGGGTTTCACCATATTGGCCAGGCTGGTCTCGAACCCCTGACCTCAGGTGATCCACCCTCCTCAGCCTCCCAAAGTGCTGGGATTACAGGTGTGAGCCACCGTGCCTGGTCACTTTTATCTTCTTTACATTTATCCCTTCCTAAAATTATCTTACTCATTTCTTTGCTTACCTAGAACCACGTTTTGTGCATAGCAGTTGCTTGATAAAAGTTTTGCTGAACAAATAAATAAATGAAGACATGAACTACTGGGAAATATTTTTAACGTCCATAGGAGTGTTTGAAAAAAATTAATGTGAATTTAGCATATGTTGAGTGAATTGATTGTCAAATCACGAATACATTCATTGCTGAATAAACGAATGAGTGGGTGGATAAAAAGTTGATGCTGCAGAGAAATGTATCCTTTTTATCTGGTAGTATCTTGCGCCTCCTGGCACAATGTTGGGTACATAAGCTCCAGAAACACATCATCCTGTGAATTCAAAGGGAACGTGCTGCTCTGTTGGTTTCTCTCCTCCTTATGGAAAAAGCAGAACTTCCTTGGAATCACAGAGTGTTCTTAAAGTCTAAAGATGCAGGGCTTTCGAATTGTTTTCTCCTCGGGATCTCACACCTCTCTGTTAGTTCAGACAGCTGATGACTGACTGGGATCATGACCCTTGGCATCACCACTCTAGGCTTCCCACAGAACGGGGGGAATGGGGAACAGAGCTTCCATTCCTGCAAGGGCATTTCTTGGCTCAATTCCTCCCTCGCTTCCTGCATGAGCAAGTCTGCGGGAGATCCCTTAATGACCTCTGCCCCAGCAGATTTTCCAGCCACCTCTCGGATCACTTTCAAGATAGCGACGCCTTCCAGCTGATTCCCCTCTTCCACCCAATATCCTTTGAGCAGTACCTCCTCCCTTGGGTGTGTGCTCAAGAAATCTCTACCCACGGATTCCTGACATGAAGTTAAACAGATGCAGAAAGGGAAAGTGCTGGGAGAGAAATCACAGCGTATCTCCTTAAGAATCTGGAAGTGCCTCCCTCCTTTCAGTTAGGTGAAGTCTTCCTCACTTTATAACTGCTTGTTTGAAGATTTTTATATCTCCTTGGGAGATAATTCTGCAATTCTGTAATCTGTAATCCCAACTCTGCCATTCTCCATAGGTCTCTTACGAGCAGGGCACTCATGGTCTTTGTTCTGGACACGTTTTCAAGGATGTTTGTATAGCGACACAAAGCAGATTTCTTTAGTGACCAGTATGATAAAGTCTCCTTCTGGGGCAGTTAGGCAAGTTTGCTTGCAGCCCCCTTATAAGATTGGAGGTTCCATAAGCACAGGGCTCCTGACCTGTGAAAAAGATCCACTCTGTGCACACCACACCTGCCCCGCCCCCATGAAGGATCTGATGCAAACGGTAAGCTCGTGCTTCTTGCTCTGCGGTAACAGTCTATGGTCTCTGACCCAGGAGTCTTGTGTCTTCCACTGACATCCATGAAACGGTGGCAGGCTAACTCATTGGCTGAAAAGCAGGGTCAAATCTCAGACCCTTCACAATTCTTGAGTCCCCTCTGGTCTATACTCTATAAATGAACTTTAAGTATGTATTTCTAGTATGTATTTACACTCGAATTTTGTATGGATTTTGTCTGAGGTCCCAGAACAGAAGGACATTAGGAAAAAAACAAATCTGAATGAACTATGGGCTTTCGTTAATAATGTATCAATATTTGATCGTTAATTGTAACAGATATACCACACCAGTGTAAGATGTTAATAACAGGGGAAACTGTGGGTGGAGTATGTGGGAACTCTCTGTACTAGCTTCTCAATTTTTTTGGTAAACCTGAAACTGTTCTAAAAAAAAAATCTGTTTTTCCAAATAAAAGTTAAAAGAAATTGAAGATTTGATATATTATTTTTGAGCAACCACTGTGAGCCAGGCACTTTCATAAGTATGGTTTAAGGTCAAAATCACCCTAATGGTGGCTGCGTTATTATTAACTTTGTTTCACAGAACACAGACTTGTGCACCCTGGAGCTGAGAGAGGTCAGTTTCCTAGGGTGCCCCCTTGGGAAGTAGCTAAGCTGTAGTGTGTGCTCATGTCTTCTGACTCTATTCTGTGGTTCTTCCCATGATGGCATGTTATTGAGTGATGGCAGTGAGACTCACTTAACCAGAAGCTTCTACGAACCAGAGCTCCCCATTCTACAACCATTCATAGTCTTGCTGTCTCCAAAGGACTCAACATAGTTCCCTGAACTTTATATAGGCGAGTTCTTATTTTCACAACTATCCAGGAAGGTAGGAATTGTTGGCTCCATGTTAGAGATGAAGAATCTGAGACTCAGTAACCTTCTCAAGGCCACTGAGCTAGTAATAAGTCAGGATTCAAGTGTAAAGCTTGTGCTGTCTCAACATGTCATGCTGTCCTTTTGTGTGACCAGCATGAGCCCACTGAGGAATTTCACTCAATCCCAGATATAGCCAGCTTTCCTTGGTCCTTTTGCTGACTTCTCTTCACTTTGTGGGAATGATGGGAATGATTAGTGACTAAGAATTCAGTGAGGAAAGTCTTTGAAACATTTTCATAAAGAGAATGGGGAGAGGAAGTCACAGGGCACATAATAGAATCTGCATTATAAACCAAGTTGGCAAAATAAATTACACATCAATCCCACTGTCCCCACTCCTGCTCCCATGGCAGACATGACTAATCAATCCTGAGCTCTTGGCTGCCACCTCTGGACCCAGCCTGACAATAACTCTCAATGGGATCTCCAGGCAGCCATCACTCAATCTCAGAGCTGACTTGAAGACTAAACCCCTCTGCCTTCCCAGCTATGGGCACAACCACACTTTTATACTTACATCTTCAACATCTTGAAAAACAGAATTAGAGCATGCACAGGGTAGTTATTTCATTTGCTGCTAATGCTACAGTCACAACACGAAATTATTTCTCCAGCCTTTAATTTGGGTGCACATTCACAACCATATTCTTGATGGGATTTGCCTGGGCTCTGTGAGGGAGAAACACTGCAAAGCTGCTGCATGTCTGGGCTGCAGTGTTACCCATCCCCCTGTGCCGACCCTGGGCAAAACCAATGACAGAATGACAGTAGGCTTTTGTAGGCCAGCCGGCCACGGGAAGTGACATTACAGCTTGTCCTTGGGAGAAGACTGTGGCAGTCGCATGAAATGATGCCTGCAGGATGAGACTTTACGTTTAGCTCCAGACTGCGTGTGAGATCCAGTAACAACAATAGCAATAACAATAGCAGCAGATGGCAATAACCACAAAAACAACAGGCTCAGGGCAAGTTAGAAAATGACCTTGTGATCCCTGGTATGCTTGCTGGCCACATCAGGCCCAGGGAATCAATAACGTGAAGAAGTCCAGGGTGTTAATCACAGACGCATTATTCTGAAATATGAAGCTAAATTGTCTGAGCCTAATATTTGTGGGAATTTGCCAACTCTGATAAAAGCTTTAAAAAAATCACTAGGTCATAGCATGTCTAAGTGGGTCACAAATTGTGCATTAGCTTAACTTGTATTTAACATTTTTGTTAAATGTTACCTTTTTTTTTTTTTTGCCTTCATAGCCTGGTTTTCTCCTGTGGTTCCCACATGTCAAGATTGAGAGATCACATGACCTTACATGAACATGAACACAGAGACCCCCGCTTTGCTGTGTGAGTGACTGTGAGGGTATTTCCCACATAGGTAAGGATGGAGTGATGTTTTGAACTATAATGCCTCTCTCTCCTTTCGTCCTTAAAGATGTCACTTGCTTCTCTGCCACATTCCTGCTTCCCTGTGAGTCAAAGAAGAGGCAGTCACCTCCACTTCACCACATACATAGGGCTTCTGGGGCAGAAGAGGCCTCTGCGGGATCCTTTTGACCAACTGGAGAAAGAAAGAAGCATGTGGGCCAGGAAGACCCTGCTTTCCCCACTCTCTTCGGTGGGAACACTTGGTCCTTCTGTGTCTTAGTCTGTCCGGGCTGCTATAACAAAAAAGATCTTAGACTGGGTGGTGTAAACAACAGAAATTAATTGCTCAGTTCTGGAGTCTGAGAAGTTCAAGATCAAGGTGCCAGCAGATTGAGAGAATGGTGAGAGGCTGCTTTCTGGTTGATAGAACAGTTAGGTAAAGCTTTGCATTGGGCCACAACAGAGACTGTTGGCATTATGTTTTTACAACCCAGACTCATCTGCCTTAGGCTTGGACACCAATTTCTGTTTCATTTGTTCATCTTCTCATTGTGTCCTCATGTGGCAGAAGGGGCAAGGGAGCTATCTAGGGTCTCTCTTACAGGGAGGGCACTAACCCCAAGTATGAGGGTTCTACCTTTATGATTTGATCACCTCCCAAAGGCTCCACCTCCCAACACCATCACCTCATGAGGTCAGGATTTCAACACACGAATTCTGGAGGGACTCAGATATTCAAATCAAAGCAACCTGGAATTAAAAAACCTTCCCTGACAGATCGGGGTAAGTTCTTGGGGATGGTAGGCTGAGAAAGGCCCAGCTCACCTTTGATGCTGGGGGTGTAGTGAAGATTCCAGGAACCTAGTGGCACAGGGCATCAGCTCCTGAGCTGCACTGTCCCTCTGGGTTTCCAGCCCGGGATGCATGACAGGCTTCATGGAGTGTGCTTTTGTGGCCTCCATACTTTCCAAAGATCTGATGAGGCCAGTTTGTTGCCACCCCGTGCAAAGCATCTGTTAGGTAAAGCTCTGCGTTGGGCCACAACAGAGACTGTTGGCATCACATTTTTATAACCCAGACTTGACTGCCTTAGGCATGGGCACCAATTTCGGATTCATTTATTTATTCAACAGATATTTATTGAGCACCTACTATGTGCTAGGTACTGGAGCTTCACCAACAGGTAAGAGGCACTGTCCTGACCTCACAGAGCTTGGTGGCCCATTGGCTGCAGTCAGGGAAGCAGAACTCAGTTTGATTGACACACAGTGCATGCCATAACAACTTGGAGTAGGAAAACCACCTGTGGTTACGTTCCTTGAAGGAGGCCATGGGCCAGGTAAGGGTTCAAGGCTTCATGAGCATCTTGCCTATACACTAGCACTTCTTGCTCTTCTCTGCGCCTACTCCAGAAAGCCAGGGCGCAGTGGTGATGTGGTGGGCTTTAGGGTCAGGCGGCCTTGGCCCTATCCAGCTCCATCCCTTTTTATCGCTGTGGACAAGTCATCTGACCTCGCTAAGCCTCAGTTTCCTTGTCTGAAAAATGGAGGTGATGATTACAGCTGTGAAATAATGTTGAGGGGGCCAGGCACAGCGGCTCACTCCTGTAATCCCAGCACTTTGCAAGGCTGAGGCAGGATGATTGCTTGAGCCCAGGAGTTCAAGACTAGTCTGGGCAACAAAGTCAGACCCTGTCTCTACAAAAAAAAAAAAAAAAAAAAAAAAAAAAAAGCTGAGTGTGGTGGCCAGCCTGGGTGATAGAGCGAGATTCCTCATCTAAAAACAAAAACAAATGGTGTTGAGGGTTAAGTGAATTAATAAAGGCACTAACAGTCATAAGAGCTCTAGAAATATTGGCTGTTACTGCTATAGTCAAATGGGCAAATGCCCAGTGTTCACCCATTCCCGGACATGGACCATAGAAGCAGGGCAGGCAGTATCCATGGAATGAAGCAGAAGGACACAGGAACAGTTTCCCTCCAGAAAACAATGCAGGGCTCAGCGTGTCCTCTTGCCCTCTCCTGTAGGCTGCTGATGCCGCCATGAGACCAACAGCCCCAGAATCCTCATGGTGTAGTAGTGACAGCCTTGGAGACAGCAGCGTGTTCAGGCAGCAGGAGAACACACAGGACCATGGCTCATTTGCATGGCCCGGGCACACCTGCCAGCAGCAGATGTTTGCACCTAAATGTGTAGCAACAAGCAACAGGACCTTGGGGGTTATGTTATTAAAAAACAACTCTTAATGAACAGATATTTATTAATATTGGGGTTGTATTTCTGGATATGGAAATGGAAATAATCACATTAGTGTTTTACAGAGCAGGCCCAAACAATTCCTTTTTTTTTTTTTTTTTTTTTGAGACAGACTCTTGCTCTGTTGCCCAGGCTGGAGTGCAGTGGGTGTGATCTTGGCTCACTGCAACCTCTGCCTCCCAGGTTCAAGCAATTCTCCTGCCTCAGCCTCCCAAGTAGCTGGGATTACAGGCGCGCACCACCATGCCCAGCTAATTTTTGTGTTTTTAGTAGAGACGGGGTTTCACTATGTTGGCCAGGCTAGTCTCGAACTTCTGACTTCAAGTGATCTGCCCGCCTCGGCCTCCAAAAGTGCTCGGATTACAGGCGTGAGCCGCCTCACCCGGCCTCAGCTCATTTTTATCTTATGGAAACACATGATCCACGTGCAAAGTGAACACAATTCCCAAATCATCTTGCTGCCTCTGCTTTTGAGATTATCTTCCCTGGACACACTGTGGCAGGCATAGGTTTGACCTTCACACCGTGGCAAGTGATCCCTCGCCTTATAGGGCATTGTCTGCAGAAGAGATGAATGTGGCGCATTTTGTTTCACCCTGGTGAGTTATGGTTTGCAGTTTGCTTTTTTCTGTGCTATGCACACCTGCCAGTGTGTTTGCAGTCCTCCAGTTGGCTCTGTGCTGGGGCCCTGGGTCCTCGATTCGGTTCAGGGTTCCCAGGGCATTCACAGGGCAGCCACCTCTCTCCCTCACCACTCGCTGCTGGGCTGAACGGGCAGCATCACACTCCCCAACAGGCTTTCTCAGTCCACAGCACTCACCACGGCCCTTGGCACATGGAGGATGAAGGCAGCCACGTCCCCGTCAGGGTCATCTGTGAGAAGGGAAGGGCTAGCACGGACGCTGAGACTAAACACGGATTATGGAAGAACTGGGCCTCTTTCTGCTAGCTGTTTCCCGCCTGTACTATTTCTGAAGCTGGCAAACACAAAAGCACAGTGTGTGAAGTTCAAATCTGTTTCTGCATTGTTAGATCAAGCCTGGGAAGCCGGCAGATGAGAGTGCTATTTTGAGATGCAAGATCAGGCTGAAGAGAAGAGGCAGAGTCGGAACATCCCCAGGTTTGGGTCCTCTTGGACGGAGCCTCCTCCGCAGCTGTACTTGTCCCCAGGCAGGAGGGTAGTCACAGTTTCAGGGACCACTCCCTACCATGCCCTGCTGTGACCCCATGCCTGGGAGTACACTTCTCTATTGGAAGTGCAGGCTGCTCTGCCAAGCCCCAGACAAGTGCCCCTGGGCTCCAGGGTGATGAAAGCTGATGTCAGCCATTTATTTGTATGGAAACGAATCCTGGGCAGAGAGAGGAGACCTGGAGCAGTAAGGAGAACTAATCAGAGACCAGACTTAGCAGTGGGGCCCAGTGTTCAAATCAGGCCCCAGGTGACCGCAGCAAGGGCGCCTCCAGGGCTGCCCACGCTGGCCACAGAGCACTGTCGGTTCCCTGGTGGACATCTTCCCTCTGTCTTGGCTACAGGAGCTCTTGAAGCTCTCACACACGCTTACTGGATGGCAGCTGGGTTTGTGCCATGCTGGTGATGGGCACGAGGAAACTGCTCAAATATATAGTGGAGGCCGGAGCTGGAGACCTCTCAGGGATGGAACTTTCTTTTTTTCTTAATTTTCTTTTTAAGAGACAAGGTCTCACTCTGTTGCGCAGGCTGGAGTACAGTGGTGAGATCCTAGCTCACTGCAGCCTCAAACTTCTGGGCTCAAGTGATTCCCCCACATAGCCGGGACTACAGGTGCAAGCCACCACACTCTGCTAATTTTTACTTTTTTTATTTCTCCAGAGACAGAGGTCTCACTATGTTCCTCAGGCTGACCTTGAGCTCCTGGCCTCAAGCAATCCTCCTGCCTCTGCCTCCCAAAGTGCTGGGATTACAGGTGTGAGCCACTGCTCCCAGCCAGGGGATGTGACTTTCTTCTGCACAAGTCAGTTAACAAACTTTGCACATGAAGCTAAATAGCATTTATTGTCCTGTGAAGTCAGTGCCTGTACTTGACAACTGTGTTCAAGACGCTGAGGACAATCCAAGCTGCTAATGTGACAGGCTTAGAGAATTTTGAAAACTGGTTCTTTCTTGTGCACTGATCCACAGCCCCAAACTGTGGACTGGCTTCAAAAATGTCCCCAGCAGAGCCCTTCCCCCCGACTAAACATACAGACCCATTCTTCATTGATTTGCACGTGTCTACAAGTACCAAACAGCACTGATTCCTTCTTGGTATTAACAAGGTTGCCTCGGCATGGTTTTGGAGGAGGGAGTACCCAGGTAGTAAATAAGGTCTTTCATCACAGATAACGAATAATGAATGTTATTCAGTGCTGAAATGATGGCAATTCTTCACCTGTCAGAGGAAAAGGGCACAGAAAAGAGGAGTTTAAAAATAGCAGCAGCTCACAGGGTGTGATGGTGGCGGCTGGGAGGCTGCGAGCCACTGTCTGGCTGGGAGGCCACGGGGGTGAGCTTCACCTGCAGAAAAAATTCATGAACTCCTTGGCTAGGAATGTCTTCCACTAGGATTGAAGAACCAGGCAGGGCGTCTCCCTGGGCCCATGGCCTTGGGACAAGGTCTTACTCCCTCACTTCCCTTTGGAATCCGGGTTTGCAGCCCATCTTCATGCAATTCCTTCCACATTGAAGACATACACGGAGAGGGTTTCCCACACACAGCGCTGTGGAGGTCTCTGGGTTTCTGCTTCCCACACGCTCATTCAGGGACCGCCTACAGAGTAAAGGGGCTAGAGAGTGGTGTTGCGAGGCAGGATTATGGGAAGAACACAGGCTTCGGAGTCCGCTGACCCTGAATTTACTGGGCAGTTACCCTGGCCTCTCAGAGCCTCAGTTCTGCTGTGTGTGCTCTGAGGACAGGAATACATCGTCCACGGGGATGTGATGACATATTCCACATAAGTCACCTCAATAGAGGATCTCAGTAAAGACAAGTTCTTCCCCTTCTAGTTTCACCACCCTGGCTGTGGTGCTCTTGACTTCCTACCTCTGCCTTTTTTCTTATATCTCCACCTAAATTTACATTCCTTATTCATTTCTGTTTTTTAGTGCCTCTCTACCTTAGACACATGTCAGCTACTGAGGGCTATGACTACTCCTCTTGTTCCTCACTCTTACTCAGTGCCTGGAAATTGCTCACTACATATTGAATAATCTGGTCCTTTCTAAATAACTATTGGTTTTATGAAAACGAAGGTGGCAATTAAAATGGAAGTTGATTCAATTAATGCCCAGATTACAGGTTGGCAGCTGAAAGGGTATTTATTATCGATATTTCTACTCCAGTAAAATTTCAAAGTGATCTCCTTTTAGAAACCATTCCACTTCTCACCCCTGTCGGGACGCCTGCCCACCTAACCCCTGCCAACTTTGGAGGGTCTGCGGTTCCTCCGTAGGCTGCTGCTCCCTCCTTGGAAACTGCAGTTGAGTTGCCATGGGTAGAACTGAGGTGGCAATGGGCAGGCAGACCCCAGCCTTCTGACCCCCAAACTTCCCCTGACCACCTTAGCCTTTCTTCCTAGATTCTGCTTTCACAGAGCAAAAGAAAGTAACCACCCTGTGTCATCTATCACTATGTCGGCAACATATCTGGTCATTGTGATGGATTCGAACATTTAAAAATACTCAAGAAGATGTCTGTGGCTGGATCCCAAACATTCAGCTCAGACTGAGACTAGAATCTGCTCAGATTGGAGTAAAACCAAGAATCTTTAACAAAGGAACCCAGACTCTGCCCCTGGGAGGCTCTGTTCTCTTCCTCCTAAAGGCCACAGACATGGCCTACAGTGCTTTATTAATTCACCGTCTTGCTGTCTTTTTGCCAAGCTCTCCCCGTGGACCACAGAGGGAGGCTTCTCTCCAACAGGCAGTGTTGCCCCAGGGCTTCCTGGCTAAGAAACGGAAGGAGACGAGGGCTCCCAGAGCAAAGCCCAGGTAAGAAGTTCCCATTCTAAGAATTCTAACATGGTTTACTTTTGGGAAGGAAGTGTCCCAGGGAGGACGGTCTATGATTGTGTGAGCCAACATTGGTAAGGTCAAGACACAAATCAGCACCTCCCGATGGTGTTTGTTAGTAACTGTGGCTCTAGCAAATTAAACCAAATTTGTACCTTCTGTATCTCAGGGTCTTGTTTTACTAAGGCAAAGGAAAGAGCAATGATCTTGACTGTGCTATGTGCCAGTTCCCACCACCTCCCTGGCTCCTCAAAGTGCAGTTATGAAATGGACTCATGCTCTCAACCTCTGTTGGAGTCATCTGCCTCATTCCAGCAAGCTTCCATTTATGTTCAGGGCCAGTGAGTTTCCAGGGAAAGCAATTTTCTCCTTGGAGCCACAAACATTGACCCGTAACAGTCTAGTAACAAGCACCACAATGCCTAGAGAAAAAATTAAAATAGACACACTTTGATCTTTGACACTGTCCTACTAGAGTTCTAGTGATTTTCCATTGTCAGTCGCTGAGGACAGCCAGAGTATGTCTGTATAAACAGGCTTTCATACTGAAAACTAGCACAATAGCAGGCACTGATGGAAACTAAAGCCAACAAACAAACGAACTCCCAAACTGATAGAAAAGATTAAAAGTCTGGATGGGCACGGTGGCTCCTGCCTGTAATCCCAGCACTTTGGGAGGCTGCGGCGGGTGGATGACCTGAGGTCAGGAGTTCGAGACCAGCCTGGCCAACATGGTGAAACCCTGTCTCTACTAAAACAATTACAAAAATTAGCTGGGCATGGTGGCAGGCACCTGTGATCCCAGTTATTCGGGAGACTGAGGAAGGAGAATCGCTTGAACCTGGGAGGCAGAGATTGCAGCAAGTGGAGATTGTGCCAGTGCACTCCAGTCTGGGCAACAGAGTGAGATTCCATCTAAAAAAAAAAAAAAAAAAAAAAGAAAAGAAAAAATAAAAAGAAACAAAAGTCTGACGATTTTCAAAGAATATTTTCAAATATCTTAAGAAAACTGAGGCAACATAATCTGCTTATGTTATCCAATGACACCTTTGCATTTTCTGGTGCTGCAACCTAAATGTAGAGAAGGTAAAAACTGTGGATTTCAGTTTTGTGTCCTTCCTTGAGGCAATTGGTGACTGATGATAAATAGATGTAATTAAATGAATCTACCAGAGCTGGGATGCGGAGGCTTAATACTGGTAAAATGGCAATATTCTCCAAATTGATCTGCGGATTCAAAATTCTAGCTGGTTATTCCTGTAGAAATTGCCAGGCTGATCCTAAAATTCATATGGACCTTGAATAGCTGAAGCAATCTTGAGGAAGACCAGAGTTAAAGGACTTAAACTTCCTGATTTCAAAACTAACTATAAAGCTATAGTAATCAAGACAATGTAGCCTTGGCATAGGATAAACCTATCAATGGACTAGAACCAGAGGTTCAAAAATAAATCCTGGAAATTTACAGGAAATTTATTTTTGACAAAGATGTCAAGACAATCCAATGAGGAAAGAATAGTTTTTTCAAACCACTGGATATTCACATGCAAAAGAATGAAGTTAGACCCTTATCTCATGGCATATACAAAATTAACTCAAATAGGTCATAGACCCAAAGGTATGAGCTAAAATCGTAAAACATAAATGAAAATCTTAATGATCCCAGGTCAGTCTTAACTATAACACCACACATATAAGCAACAAAAGAAGTGGATAAATTGCACTTCATCAAAATTAAAAACATTTCCACTTGAAACCAAATCATCAAGAAAGTGACAAGACAAGACACAGACTCAGAGAAAAGATTTGCAAATCACCTATCCGATAAGGGATTTGGGTCTAGAATATGTAAAGAATGGTTACAACTCAATAACAAGAAGATTTTTTTTTTCCCCAAGTGATCTGAGCCTGAGAAGAGCTGGAAACTTCTGTGACACAGCTCCAAAAGATGCCTGGGCTGGCCGACTCAATCAATTAACGAGTGGAATAACAGAATCTGTGTCTTTAAAATTTCTTTAAAATCATATGCCACTCTAAGAATGGGCAAAGGATATGAGCAGACATTTCTTCGAAGAAGGTATCCTGTGATGCCATTGTGATAGCTTCTCATCTACTCACCTACTAAATTATTTTTAGATGATCTTTTAATAAGAATAAATTCTATGTCCATTGTTTATGCATTTTCAAAAACCAGCTTTTGAGAGCATCATTTATGTGGACTGATTGAGATCATGATCTTCCTTATTTGAAGGATTTCTCTCAAATCATCGATTTTCTGTTTAAGCTGAATTTTTTTTTCCTATCTCATGCAACCCTGATGCTCACCAATCTCAGTGGCGTTCCTCATTACTGCTGCTATTTCAGTTATCAGGTCAACGTGGGCTTGTAATACCTTGGAATGTTGTTTGTTAAATTTCATGATTATACCAAGGTCAGCCTTCTTTTTAGCTAACTCTTTAGCCCTCAACATTTGTTCTCAGTACTTGCTCATTATGAATCTCAAAGCTGATAACTTGAACTGCTCTTGAGAGCTGCAGTTTGCTCATAAAGAGATTTTTCTGCATTGTCATGGTCTTTCGATATTTCAACAAGAGTTTTGGCATCAGCAAAGATCTTCTTTTTTGTACAGCTCGTTTTCTGGTCTCCACTGTAGTCAGCCAACAGCTGAAAACTTTTGCAAATGGTTGCTTGGAGGACACCATGAGGCTTCTGCTCTCCAGTGCAGAGTAATAAGGGCTGGTGAGGACGTGGAGAAATCAGAACCCTCATTTACAGCTGCTGGGAATAGAAAATGGTACAGCCAGGCTGGGTGCAGTGGCTCACGCCTGTAATCCCAGCACTTTGGGAGGCTGAGGCAGGAGGATTGCTTGAGGCCAGGAGTTTAAGAGCAGCCTGGGCAACATAGCATTACTCTGTCTCTAAAAAAAAAAAAAAAAAAAAAAAAAAAAAAGGTAGTCCTAGCTATTCAAGAGGTTGAAGCAGGAGGAGTTCAAGACTGTAGTCAGCCATGACTGCACCACTGTGCTCCAGCCTGGGCAACGGTCTTGATGACTCCTATTAATTTCAGTAGGGATGGCACACGGTTGACAAGGCTGAAGAAGAGAACCACAGCCAGTGGACAAAATGTAGGGTTTGTTTGAGGGAATGTATTCACAGGGCAGATCTGTGTTGGCAGGCTGGACAGGAGAACAGCAACCGCTTGTGAAAAGCATGGAGTTTATATGGCATTTTCACTTAGCACCCTCAATGCCAGCAACCTCCATGTGGCAGCTCTCGTTTCTTAAGTGAATACTGTCAGGTGGATCTGCTGTACAATGACAGAGTGAAACCCTGTCTCAAAAGAAAAAAAATGATACGGCCATTTGGAAAACTGTTGGCCATTCCTCAAATGTTAACAGAGTTATCTCTGACATCAAGCCTGGACACTTGGTCAGTGTTATCTCCTTAACCCTGATGGGACAGGGCAGGCAGCAGCAGGCAGCATGAATCTTTTCCAGGAGAAAATAGTGAGGTGCCAAGAGAAATCGCTTGCTGGGGCTCACTGGGGCTGACCACCCATGCCCCTCAGTTGAATCTCATTACTGTTCTTTTCCCCCTCCCTTTAGTCCAACACATTTGGGCTCAGGACCATGCATCATACGTGCTCTCTTCCAATACTTAGGGCTAAATGATCGCCAGTGAAAACAGTATTTGCAGAAAGCAAATCCCTAACTGGAAACAGGGAAACCTCAGGAGTGGGATTCTTCCCCGAAGCAGATCTGTTACTGCTTTCGCTTTATTGTGGGGCTGTACAGGAGGGACTATGAACGGGCTCCCACCATTTTAGTTGGCTTGGTAACCTTGGTGTGATGAGGGTGTGTATTAGTTTGTTTTCACGCTACTGATAAGGACATACCCGAGACTGGGCAATTTACAAAAGAAAGAGGTTTAATGGAGTCACAGTTCCATGTGGTTGGAGAGGCCTCACAATCATGGTGGAAAGCAAGGAGAAGCAAGTTATGTCTTACATGGAGGGCAGCAGGCAAAGAGAGAGATCGTGCATGGAAACTTCTTATAAAACCAACAGGTCTCATGAGATTAATTCACGATCACTGTAAGATCCTCTCAACAGGCTACACTATGATTGAGCCATTGTGACCCTGTGACCCACACATACAGGCCTCCTGGAGTCACAAAGCCAGGAGCAACAGGAGAACCACTAAAGAAGAAGAAGCAGCTAGTTCCTGCCTTAACTGATTTACAGACCTTGCAACATTCCACCATCGTGAAATGTTCCTGCCCTACCCTAACTCATCAATCGACCTTGTGATATCATGCCTCGTGACCTCCCCCCACCTCGTGATTATGCGCCTTGTGACATTCTTCCCCTGCCCAAAAAAACTGTCCTGAACTGTAACTTTCCACTATCTACCCCAAGCCCATAAAACCAGTTCCACTCCCACCACCCTTTGCTGACTCTTTTTGGACTCAGCCTGTTCGCACCTGAGCAAATAAACAGCCATATTGCTCACACTTAGCCTGTTCAGGTTGTCTCTTCACTTAGATGTGTGCATACCAATCACGAGAACAGCAGGGGAAAGACCGACCCTCATAATTCAATCACCTCCCACTGGGTCCCTCCCACAACACGTGGGAATTCAAGATGAGATTTGGGTGGGGACACAGCCAAGCCGTATCAGGGTGTATTCATGGGGTACCCCAAATTATGCAGTGTCTCTCTCGGATGGCATGGACCCCAGGTGAAGCATGCCAGCTGCTCCATGCTCGCCTCACAGGTGGAAAGCTCTTAGGTGCTTCCAGTGTTTCTGAAAGCACTGCAGACATTAGGGTACCTGGAACTATGGGGTGTAAAATGCTTCCTGACAGGCCTGAGCTATGCACACAGGTGCCAGCATCTGTCTGGTAATGTGTGAGGATGTACCTAATAGGACATCCTCTGTGCTCGTTCTAGACACACACTTAGATCACAGCACTAAGAATTGATTTTCTTCACTCCAGCTTCCATTACATTGTAAATACTCTTTACACCGGGTGCTTATATGATAGATTAGAATGCTCTTAAGAAAACCAAATACATTAAGCCTTCACCCCAGATCTTAAATCAGCATTTCTCAATGCGGGGCCACAGATCTGTCACACTATTACCTGGGGAGTTTGTTAGACATGCCTAGTCCAGGCCCTACACAGACTCATTGTCTTTAAATCTTTAGGCATGGGGTTTGGGGAGTTGGCATTTCAAACAAACTTGTTTTGCAATGAGTTTAAGAATGATGAGTGCTCAGCTGAAGTCTGATTCTGCAGTCTTAAATCCTGGGGGATTAAGCTGTCCATCACTTTCTATCTGTATGTCATGAGAAAAGAATGACTGATCAATACAAATCTCAGCCTACTAAATAAGAAAATTAGGGGAGTGTTCAATTCTTTCCAACTACAGGGCTGCTTTAAGATACCTGAGGGACATTTAAATAAGATTTTGTTGACAATATCTGATTCATGTTTTAAGAACCCACAGACTGCAGTCATTTCGGGTATATCTTCCTGGCACAGCTGCCACTATCTTTCACTTCCCCCAAGTCTACGCCAGGCTTAATTACCTTTGTCCTCTGAGCCAGTGGTTCTCAACCTTGGCCTCACATTAGAATGACCAGGGGAGCTTTAAAAAATACCGACTCCAGGCCGGGCGCA